CAGGCCTGAACAGATTTACTCTTATTAGATTTCTTTTGCAATGAGGCAATTAACGTTCTTTCCAAATAGGTCGTTCAGTTTAGATGAGGTTTAGGCCATCGGTGATATTAATTTAACCCAAAGCTGAAGAAAATTGCACACATCAATGTGAAACCCCATTCTTGCAGGAAAAAAAGTGCTTAATCCTACCAACGTTTTAAAATGTAATGTATTTTTAACATCTTGTTTGTATTCAGCAACACAGAAACAGCAACTCTGTGGTTTTTACTTTAGGCAGATGCTACAAAGTAACAAAAGGACACCACATTAAATATTTTAAGTGTTTTAAGTATTTTATGTGTCATTATCATTTTGCTGTTTCCTTCTGCAGGGGTCGCCACAGATAGCAAATTAAAAAAATGACAGTTTTGGTAATTTTACACAAGATAATCTTCCTGTTGCAGCCTGGGCTTGAACCTGCAGCTTCAGGATCACAAGCCAACCCTAACCACCGAACTACCACGGCTGTTGGGTTATAAATTTTGTGTACACTGTCAAATTAAATAGGTTTTAACTCACGTGAAATTCAAGCCAAATGCAGAAATTGAACAGATTCAAACTCAATCGTCTTGTTTGACTTTTAAACTTGTTTGAATGTTATATGACTCACTAACATTAAACCACAGACATAAATGAAGATTGATAAAACAGCTCCATTATAATCTATTGTCCGCAAATGAAGTCAAGATGTTTGATTTTTGGGTGTTGAATTTTTGGATAAAGTATTTGTACAGTATGAGGGCCTGTCCCATAGATGTAAGTCATTCTGCACACCCTCCCACAGCACTAACCGGCTGTCACCTTGTCAATCACAATGCAATGACACCTTCTTAGAGCATAAAACAACTAATAAAAACTGAGCCCACTTAAAAATGCACATTTGAACACACAGCTGCAAGTTAAGGACCATGTGAGTAAGCAAAAATTAACACCTGACAACAAAAAAATCTTGTGTATTTATTTTTTACTCAGGCAAATGTCCCATTAATTTACATGCCAAGGAGGGACTTAAAACCCGCTCCGCAGGTAGCCACTATAAGAAGGGGGTGCTCATTCTTTTTGCTTCAGCTTCCTGCTTCTGGTCCTGTCCTGGTTGACTATCTCAAATTCTCCTGGATGTTATGTGAACAAGATGCTGGGCTCCCCCCCTCCCCTACCCGCTCCTTTCCTCAAGGATGTGGACCTGTGTCAGAGCTCTACTGAGCCAGCTGATAAACACTGCACCATCATTTATCAGGACTATGGTGGTGGTGGTTATCTGGACACTGCTCACGGACTACTTCCCCTTAAATTCACCGCGTTTGCTGGCCTCCCTCATTCCCACCCCCTCCCCCACCCCGGTACAGCGGTACAGTAACCTAGGTAGATGCAAAGGTGCCAGTGGCTGCACCACTCACTTGGGCGGCCTGTGCTGGGAGCCCCACCCTCATCCACTCTGCATTCATATGTCTTTATGTCACCAGTATGTTGCTTTTTCTTGTGCTGAGGTTTTTTTGCAATCTCACACTGTGTCCCGTCAAGGATGTGGTGCGAGCTATGATTTTTTATATTTCCCATTTCCTCATGTCCCCCCCCCCCCTTTTCCTTTTCTGAATGAAAAGGGCAGCGCTTCACACGAGGCCGCAGCCTCAGGCATCCCCGTCCACCCAAGTTTTCTTTGGACGGCTGTACTGAAATGTAATTGTGTTGTGCTTCTGTGCAGTGACAGCAAAGGTTGATTCTGATTCTGTCTCTAGTTGTAATTTATTTTGATGGACGGAAGAGGCACGACTGGTGGCTCAGTTAGTAGAGCTGAGGCCTCTCAGCAAGAAAGTCACTGGATCCAATCCCGGCCCAGGTCCTTTCTGGGTGGAGTGTTCATGTTCTCTCCGTGCATGCGTGGGTTTTCTCCGGTTTCCTCTCACAGACCCAAAAACATGCATGTTAGGCTGAGTGGTAACTCTAAATTGTCCATAGAATGAGAGAGTGAATGGTTGCTTGTCTAATTTGTCTCTATATGTCCCTGTGATGGACAGGATATCTGTCCAGGATGTCCCCCGCCTCTAGCAGAGTGACTGCTGGATATAGGCACCAGTGACCCCCGTGACCCGAAAAGAAGTACCGGTAAGTGGATAAAGATAATGGATGGATGGACGGAACAGGCCTCACTCTGAGGTGGTCAAATATATCTTCAAAGACACACAGTTTGTTTTCTCAGTCATCCAGGTATATAACAACAAAAAAGGTTGAATCATGTCATCTGGACTTCGTTTTTT